GAAATATAAATAATATATATTACATAAATATATCACAGAACTCTAACACTTGAGAAGACGTTATCACAAGATATTGAGTATAATGTGTCTACAAAATGAGATGTAATCCTTCGTTTTTCGTAGTCATCTCATGTTGATATTGGAGATAAGAACTCACGAGATGCTTATCAATACGGAATCTAGTCTCAATCAGGTGTAACGTTCGTTATTGAGTATTGTCTTCCTGATTCTTTGGAATTTGGTGTAGAGTCCTAGAATCCACTTCACTATCACTACAGAGTATAAAACAAAGTCGCTATCCGCCGTCTGTCTGTCCCTATGTATGCTTAGATCTTTAAAACTCCGCAACGGATTTTGATGCGGTTTTGTTTAATAGATAGAGTGATTATTAAGGAAGGTTTATATGCATATTACATGCATATTGCACCCGTGCGAAGCCGAGGCGGGTCGCTAGTAAGAGATAAAATAACACTGAATGTTATGGTGCGACGTATGTACGTTATAACTGTTACACCCAATTTTCTTCCACATTTTTTATGGTATAAGCCGGTAAACGAGCAGACGGATCACTTAATGCATGGTAAGCAATCGGCGTCGCCCATGGACACCCGAAACTCTAAAGGCGTTACAAGTGCGTTACCGGCCTTTTGGGGATTAGAAGTTTGAGGATTGTTGGGGTTTCAGAGTTTGGGGTAATTGGGCCTCTGGTGATCTAATACGATGAAACATAACGCAAGCGTTGCTTCACGTCACACTGGCCGAGAAGCATGGCTCTCCCACACTTAGACCACTATTACCTGGGTTAAGTTTTAGGGTGATGATAAAAAAAATTTCTTTCTTCATTTCCAAGAAACAAGAAAATATATTTTCTACTAGCTGCTTCGTCCGCGTTTCCGTAGAATAAAAATTAGCCTATGCGTTTTACCAAACTAACTGTCAAACACCAAGCGGTCACCAGTGACCGCAACCTATTGTATGACGGTACTCAACGAGTTCTATATTCCTTCAGCCGTTTTCACGTGAAGCACAAACAAACATAGACACTTTCGCATTTGTAATGTTAGGAATATATCGACATTTCTAACTCATAATTTGTGACCGATTCCACGTTTTCCTGCTGAAGATGTGCCCAGGTTCTTTGTAGAGATTCTCTTTCCATTGGTGGAAGAGATCATAAAATATCATCTTCGTAGTGCATTGAACCAATAACCGACTAAAACTGCAGATAAAAGTGAAACCACTATATCTGGTACCTTTATACATTTATCTTTAGTGTCAACAATTTAGACCTACTTAAAATTATTTGTATTCAGGTTAAATGAAAATTTTCAATTTCTTATACGTGAAAGATTGCATAGCTGAAAGCATAGGTAGATTTTTCAGGAATTTTGTGCAACTAAGATTAAGATAGGATAGGATATACACAACACCCTATAATCCCCAAAAAGACCTACTCATGGAGTCTTATTTAACATGGGGCGAGCCCATTGCCATACTGGCCACCATCTAGAGTTTAGAGTACACTCTGTACTGGAATTGAGGATTTTCGACCATCAACATTTTTACTTAACCTGATGGTTACAATTTTCGGTTATGGCTCCTGACTTCGGTCAGACGGTCTTGCTTGCGATAATTCGGCTAGCAAAGCAATCTAATGGCAGACTTTTCAAAATGGAGATGAGAATGGGATGCAACACTATTTTTAAGCGTGTGTAAAAGTAAGTTTTATTTTCGACAAGAAACGACACATTGTTCTATCTATAATACAATATTCAACAAATTTATCATTGTCATCATGACTCACAATTTCTACTTTAAATATGTAGCGACAGATATACTTTAAGATCTTGTTATTTTGTGGCGTTTTTCGTATTGATCTTTGATCTTATGAAGTGGTTTTAAGATCATTTGAGTGTACTAGGCCCAATCTCATAAAGGGGTTTTAATTACTTCTAGTAATTTCTGGTGACTTTAGTGTTGGAAATCACTTTATTAATCACTACTCTTGACGATAAGTGAAGACAGCACACGGCTTACAAGCGTCTTGTCTTGTAAGCCGTGTGCTGTTGTCACAATCTTGACGATGCTTGTAAGCCGTATTTCCGTATAACCGTCTGAGGCTAACCTTTAATATACACCAGGCAGCAGCACCCTGTTTAAAATTTTCTATGAACGACAATTACACTTTTGTACGTTAAGTATTCATTAAGTTCCTTCTAGGACCTATAATGCTTTTTACTATTGAAGAGTTCTTTTATTACCATCTTAAGCTTAAAACTGCACCGTCGCCAATATTTTATAGAACCATTTCTTCTATCTCAAAACAACCTTGAGACATTAGAAAAATTGCGCAATACTTGGATTAAACTATCTAATTCTTTATCAACGTCGAAGCGAGTTGTCATAGGTCGGATATTCTGTCATGATTGCACTTCATTCTCAATTCAAAGGAAAATAACTAATCATTTGAATTGACACAATGATATTACAGTTATTTAATAAGAGACGTGTGCACTGACTGAACATTGAATATCTAAACGTAGTAATAAATTTAATTGATTTTATCTTAACCATATGAGATGGAATTTGATTCCTACAATCTCGCACACAATTGAAAGGCGACGTCACGAAACGAACGAAAGACATTTCTTTTTTATTTTCCAGCTCATCTAGAAGGCTTTTTGCATAGGATAAACTGGTAAACGGGCAGACGGATCACCTGATGGTGAGCAATCACCGCCCAAAGGCGTTATCAGCCTTTTGGGGATATGGCATCTGAGGAATGTTGGAATCGGATTGGGGAGATAAGGGGAAGGGCGGAGGGTAATTGGGCCTCCGGTACCCTCACTCACACAACGAAACTCAACGCAAGCGTTTCACATCGGTTTTCTGTAAGGGCGTGGTATCACTCTGATCGAGCCGATCCATTCGTGCCGAAGCATGGCTCTCCCACACTTCATGAAGTGACCTGACCTATGTTTAGCAGTGGACGTCGCTTCCAACCGGCAGATTTGGAAGGAAAGGCCTTTTAACTGGCTAGGCTTTAGGCTTTTTAACAGTGAACATTTTATGCCTGATATGACGATGACTAGATACAATTCTAAACTCAGTGTAGCTACTGAGATGATAATATTAAATTCTTGACATACACTATCCCGTCCTATGATACGCACAAAATCTTAAGCTCTTCCAAAGATAAATGAAGATGTAGCACAAAAAACAAACTCAAATCATGTAGATAGATACAATGACCTGCGCACACCAAAATAACATTACTTTGACAATATATTGATCAAGTCATCGAATACAGAATGCAAGTCTCTGTATCTCAGATGACACAATCAATATAAATAAAAGTCTTCCATTACTGACTGATAGACAAGATATAATCAAAACTGCTAGTCATCGGAAACTAAAATTTGGCTTGCCTTGGAGAGTATACGGAGCTATGAAGAGAGGAGTTCCCGAAATTCTTTTGAGTATTATAAGAGGAGTAGTAGACTGTACAGTTGGTCGAGCAACCACGAGAACTGCTAAACAAGCGGCTGTGGTGTTGATTGATTGTTATGTGATGTGTGATGTGATGGTGTTGATTAGATCGGGTCAAGCATTATTAGGTACGGTATCTAGAATTATGGGTGGTATAAATGATAAAAATGATATTTATTTCTACAAATAGGTCATAAAGTACAAGGTAATACTTTTACATGTCAATCTATAAATTATCTACTAGATCAGGAGGCCTCCATTTGTTATTGAACTACACTGAGAAGAAATAACGAAACAACCTCATAGGTCATAATCTCTTTGAAAGTCCAGACAAAAAAGAATAATGTGAGATATCCGTGCAAGTTGATTCTCTAGTGATCTTATGAGCAAAGAACTACAACAGTCTAAACGAGCCTGTTCTGACGGTAGCACACACTATAGACTCAACCTCTTGTATGAGACTCGTCACAACATCACATCAACAGTCTATAAGTGCCCACTGCTGACCAAAGGCCTCTTCTCACACGG